CATCAAGCTTCATCACATCATACACATACACATACACATGCACATAAAGTTCATCATAAGCATGCTCATGTGTACAAATATGATTATTGTGGTCATTTTGGTCATTTGACCAAATTTTGTTTTGATTTGAAAAGAGTTTCTCATTTGAAAAATGATTTTAAACTACAATCTTTATTTGCAAATGTTTCATGTGCACATCCATATGGTCCAAAAAAATAAATGGGTCTTTTTCATTGCACATATTACAATCGAAAGGATCATTTGAGTAATCATTGCTATGACCGGACACGTGCACCACATGCGTCCAAATAGGATCATAACCCTAGGGCATTGAACTTTAATGATAGGGGTCATGTCCCTAGACTCTTTGGTACCAAGAGTAATTTGGTACCAAAGCATATTTGATTTCAAAACACATTTTTTGCATTTTTGTTTTTCATTTCTTGTTTTTGGAAAATGTGTTTTGAAATTTTTGAATATGTAAACAAAAGTATTGACTTAAAAGTATTGACATATAAATTTACGTTTGTTTTCATTTTTATTGGCTTAGATTTTGATTTATGATTTCATTTGATTGATTTGATTTTCATATGAAATTTCATGTTTATCATGATTCCCTTGGCTCTCATGATTTGTTTTCAATTGAAAATATTTTTTCATGATTCTCATGTTTTTCCACTCTTTTGATTTCATAAATCTATATATTGTTTTTATGCTTATATATTGAGACACCTTTTCTAATAATAATTATGTATGTGTTCTCAATCAATCATGACTTATGTTTTTTGAGAATTTATAAAATTTTGGACTCATTGATAAATCATTTGATTTTTTATTTTTGATTTTGATTTTTAAATTTTTTATGTTTTAGACCCTTGTGACACTCTCTCTTAATGATACATATATAAGTGTTTACTTTGTCTCTTTATATGTGAGTTATGATTAGCATGTTTTTATGCTTACTCACATGTTTGACTTAGCCTTTTTCATTGCATATTTTCTTTGTGGCATTTTGATAGGGGGAGCTTTTTTCTCTATATTTGTTTTATACTCACCTATGCTTATTTTTAGGGGGAGCTTTCGCTCTCTTCATTTTTATTTATTTACCCCATTTTGATGTTGACAAAGTAGGAGAGACAAGTATATTGTGAGTATATCTTACTTTGGTTTATGCATGAAGATTTTACTTTTATATATTCATAATGGTTCATGCATATTTTATATACTATTTGTGTAGATTGTTTGTCATCATCAAAAAGGGAGAGATTGTTAGTCTCATGGTTATGAGCCTACTCCCTAATCTTGTTTTGATGATTACAAATAATTCCTAACATTGTGCATCGAGTGCTTGCATTTGTTTTGTTAGGTAATCTACACAAATATCCTTGTTGGAGGTTGGATGGATTGCGGCTTAACGATGACATTCAATAGAGGTTGGCGAAATATCGGAATGAAGCCATTTGAAATTCAAAATCAAATTCAAGATCAAGCTTCATCCGCAACCAAGAAGAGCTTAATTGTAGATTAAGATTGCTTAGGTATAGTTTTTATAGTTTAGGGTTTATACTTGTGTGTTAATACTTAGAGCTCAATCTTATACACACATACACGTTTTGGTTTTATAGTTTTTAAGTTTGAACATGAAACAAAATTGTTTATTTATATACATTCATACATGATTCATATTTATCATTTTTGGTTTTGGTAAACAATGTGTTTAGCCACATATGCATGAAAACTCAATACATATATATAAATATATTTTCATGTTTATATGTTCTTAAGATGATTTCATTAATCAACAAGTTTAAAATCAATGAAATCATGTTTATTTGCAAAAATATGTGTTTATGGATTAAAGACTAAGTTACACCATTTTATATCTTTTCCTATGTCTTTTACTCTATTCAAAATGAATATGCAAGTTTGTTTGTCAAAAACATGTGTTGTTAAGTTTTCATATTTTTGGACTATTTTGCAAAATGAATAGTTTTCACAATTGAGAGATGTAATTTAAAAAATTCTTTTTGTAACATGTTCATGTTCATGTTTATAATTATTTTCCAAAATTTTACATTTTTTATAATTTATTTGCTATTTTTAAGGCACTTTAAAAATCAGATTTCATATATGAACAGTGCATGTGCACGTTCATGAGTCGACTTATAAGCACTGATAAGTCGACTTATGATCTGCTCTGGAAATACAAAATCTTTCTGCTAAGCCGACTCATGTATCCTGTAAGTCGACTTGCTATAAGTCGACTTGTAATCTCTGTTAAGTCTACTTACGTTCTGTTTCCATGTTTGTTGTTTTTGTCTGCTGAGTCGACTTACAATTGAAACAAGTCGACTCATAAGACATAATTTGACTTATGAACTAGATGTTGTACAGTAACGACTAGTTTCCTATTTTTATTATTTTAATGTTTTAGGGTGTTTTTGATGATTTCTTGAGCTGGTTTCTTCTACCCTATATATACCCATTTACCATAACTATTTCTAACTACCAATAATGTTCTTAAACAAGTTTTAAGGGTGTTGGTTTAAGTTTGTTTTCAAGTTTGTGTTTTTTTGTGAAGAAGTTTTCACAAAGAGGAGGCTTACATTTTCGGTTTGAGGAATTCAACCTCATCCATTCATCTACATCTCTTTGTATTATTGGAGAAGTTTTCTAAACTCAATCTCTAGCTATTTATACGTTTGATTATCATTTCCATAAGCTAGACTTTAATTGAGTTTATATTTGATTTTACTCATTGAACACACACAACCTTTGAGCTTTTAGCATTTCACATTAAGTATAATTTGGGTTGTGGTGAGTGGTTCTTGAGTGTGAGTGTAGACGTTTAAAATTGCATATGGGTTCCCGCAAGCAGCTCGAGGCAAAACGCAGACGATAAGTGTCATCATTCAAGTCAGGAAAGGATTATCCGGCCTCGTGGAAGCTAACGAATGCACAAAGTGAGTTGGTGGAGTATACAAGTCAACGGAATGACGAAATGCGCAATACAAGTCCAAAGAAGTCAGAAAGTGTCAAACACCTCAAAGTGGCCCGTACAAAGAATTGGCATTTTGAGCATGATACAATCCGAATCTAGAAAAATTCAAAAGATAAAAGTTGAAGGTCTCATTGTCAGCTTTTTAACGCATCTTGAATCACCTCATTCCGATGTCGGAAGTTAAGGTTGCTACAGTAACTCTGGGTCAACAATTAGTGACCCGCGCTATAGTAACTCCTGACCCGTGCTACGGTAACTCCGGGCCACCAACTCATGCTCGTGCTAAGTAACTCCGGGTCACCAATTGGTGACCCGCGCTACGGTAACTCCTGACCCGCACAGTAACTCTGGCCCACGCTACAATAACTTTGGTCATCAACTCCTGACCAGTGCTAGACAGGTAAACATCCTGACGCCCCCCCCCCCCGCCCCCTGCTAGCAGGTAACGTGCCTACCTGCGCTAGCAGTACTGCCGGTCACCGAAATTATTTACCCCCGCTACAGTACTCCTGACCCCCCACTACAGTACTCGGGTCATTAATTGGTGACCCGTGCTACAGTACTCCTGCCCGCGACCGAACGGGTCACTGTGGTCTGTCCCGCGCCCATAACGTCCAAAACGTGTATTTTGATGATTCTTTCGGGATTTCTTCGTTTCAGAGCTTCCCAACTGATTGGATATCATCCAAAAATATGGTTAGGCCGTTGTCAACTGAAGATACGGCCAAATCCTTTGTTCTTATCCAAATAACCGCATCTGAAGCCCTATAAATACAAACCTAGGGCCTCCTTTCAAAGGGGGATGGAATTTTATCAAGAGGACGAGGTGCTGCTGGATTGAAGAGTCAAGGAGTATGAAATTTCAGAGGAGGCTAGCTAGATCCCGGCGAACTTCGGCATAAAGAAGGAGTATTTCGAAGGATCCGAAGCTCCGTACCTCCTTTCCTTGAGATTAAGCTTGGTCTTAATCTTGAGAAGAGTACTGATTTCGCTTGGTCGATATCAGTACTTCAGCGAATACTTCCTTGGTGAAGTAGGAGCTCTGATCAATTATTCTGTCAACGGGATCTGGTCCGTAGGCGGTCCATGGATAAACCCCGGCACAGGTAAAGATCTCACACAAACAGTAATAGGCGATAAACGTTCTCTGCTGTATGTTGTTTGAAGAAAATTGTAATTTTCTTTATTTATTTATTGTGTAAGATCTTATAAAAAGATCGTTTTTTGGACTTATTGTAACAATTAAAGTTGTAATGAGTTATACAATGAAGAAAACAATTTCCGACCCAAACGGTGAGCTAAATTGAGTTCTCATAGATTGTAGAGAACAAAACTTTGTAATTTGAGCATTCATTATGAGATCACTTTGTAATACATTTGTACACCGAGAGGAGTATGTGGTGAGAGACGTGGTCGATTTCAAGAGGAGTGACGTCGATAGTAACGCCTAGTGAGAGGTTGTAAATCCGAACACTTAAGGAAGGCGACACGGGCTAGAGACCAACACTTAGATGATGTAAAGTGTGATTGCAAGAGTGTGAGTTGTGAAAGTTTTCGGTGAGCTAGAAAACCGAAATTGTGTGGAGTTGTAAACGTTTTTGGATGAATGTCGAAAACTCATTGTGATAGTGGATTCTCCCCGGGAGTGGGGAGCGGAGACGTAGGTCTAAAAGACCGTACTCCATGATCATATTGTGTGTTTGTGTTTGTCATTGACACACTTATTCTTGTGTTCATCTTATATCGCCTATTGTGCTCTTTGCTTACATTGTCTCACTCTTAGTTTAATTTGATATCCTTTCATACATAACTCATATACATCACTTGCTAACATAACTCATATACATCACTTGCTAGGATATAATTGTTAATATGTTTTAAATTAACATAAAATCAGATTAGATTAACATATTACCCTATTATCCCCCTCTAGAGTGCTTTCAATACCGACTCAAAGAAACTTTGCACAAGACAAGCATACTGTAGGGTAACTGCCAAATAATGGGGGTCAACGATCAAATAACATTTCTATTAAGAGAACAGTTATAGGGAGCTCCAAATGCTACAAATTGTCAAGGGAAAAAAATGCATTTGTAAACAACAAAAACAAGTTCTCCAAGTCTACAGTGAATATAGGACTAGTCAACTCTGTTCCTCTTCATCCTTAACTCTTGGAAAAAGTTAAACTGCTGAACAACTCTCGGCCTATCGCTTTTGTTTCATCTTCCTCAATTCGCGAGCTATAGCCTTCTGCCTATCCTTATCCGCTTCACTCATGTTACCTTCATGCTCCTTGCCACGTTCAGCCCCTACCTTTATTTGTTTAGCCTCTTCTGAATTTTTCCTCTTAAACCCTTTGCTCCTAGAGCTCTGACCGATGAAAGTCGTGTTGCCTTCATTGACATGTTCAGCTCCAACCTTTATTTGTTTAGCCTCTTCTGATTTTTTCCTCTTAACCCCTTCGCTTGTAGAGGTCTGACCAGTACTTTCATCGGTCTTGGTAATGTCACTAATATTTCTACTTATTGCAGTACTATCTTTATCTGGCAAGGAGGCCTCACCATTGGGAGGCGCATCCTTGGAAGAAACACGAAAGCTGTGACGAGAATTTGTAAACCATTTATCTACCTGTAAGTAAATAGAAAAACAAGAAGTTAGTAGGCAAATATTATTTAGCTGCAGGAAGAGTAAGATCAGACCTGTCTATATGTGAGACCAAGTTCCTCTGAAAGACTTTCTTTCTTCTGTCGAGTAGGGTACTGGTTTTCTTGAAAACATTCATAAAGTTTCTGCATTAATGTATAAATATCAAATATGTCTGTCATCGATGAATGAGTTGGTGTATGAACAGACTTGTGAACACATAAGTATATTTATGCACATATTTAAAGTATATATGAAGCCCTATCTGCCACCTAAGAAAAAGAGTGAATAAACATGATGCCCTATCTACCACCAAATAAAAATAGTGAATAGAAACGAAGCCCTACTACCACCTAATAAAAAGAGCGGACTTTCACTGACCAGGTTGTCATCATGCTGCTCGCAAATTAATCCTGCTACTTAGATTTTGTTTGGATCCATGGTTGTGTTTTGTTCTACATATAAACCAAACAAGATCCAAATCGTTGCAGAAAATGTTAGATTAAAAAAAAAAAGAATCTAATTGTGACCATCTTCCTTCAATCAAGAGATCACTAGGTTTCTCTTCAGTTATGTTTTTGCTTCTCTAATGCATACATGTCAATGCCAGTTTTCCAACGTCTGCTTCCATCTACAGTGAAACCTATTACTGTCTGGCTCATATTATCATATACAAAATATAAGTATGACAACAAAAATTTCTCCTATTTCTACACAGCAAGCACTTCTTCATTGTTTAGGGTCAAAAAGATATTACCTTGCCTCATGCTTTTATTTTCCCTTTATACGTAAGGATTGTAAGTTTGTAAAATGCACACGCTTCAATTATACTTTTGTTTTAAATTTTCTAGGATTGAAGAACACAAAACCCAAGAAATTTTTATCTCAAAATTGTGAATTGAAGAATAGGATTTGTGTGGTCAAACCCTAAGAATTTGAGATAAAATCTTCGTTGTTGTTCTCTAACACATGATCATTTCTAACTCGTAAGAGGTTAAAATGCTAAGAAAATAAATTGTGAGGGAGAAGTGTTGAAGAAAAATAAACTGCATACCTTACAATAATTGTTTTTCCTTTAAATCTTTTTCTAAACTTGCTGATCAAGTACCCAACTGAAAGGACTATTTTTCCTTAAATTTTGGTGGGAATTTGATGGAGGTTTTCCCTTAAAGCCTGCTGGCCATCAAAGCAAGGAGGGGAGAGAGAGAGAGAGAGAAAGAGAGAGAGAGAGAGAGAGAGGTACAGAGAATGGGATTGCTGAAGACGTGTATCATGCATACTCAAGATTTAGGTGACACGTAAAACATGCATGTTTAGGGTGTAATGCCTTAAGGTTTAGGTGCCATCTTAATTGACTTAATTAAAACTTAATTGCAAATCATGGTTATCTCTAAGCTAGGTTGCATGGATACGGGTGCGGGTGTGGACACATACTCAGATACGGACACAGGACAAGAAAAATTTGTAAAAGATTGGATATAGGTACACAAATATATATACACACACATTAGATTAAATATTGAATTAAAATACTTATAACATTTGTAAGTTTCTTCCACTATCTATAACAATTAAGAATTACGTTAAATCTAAATAAGAAATAAAGTTTAACAACAAAAGTTTAGTTTTGATCACATGGGATACAATGTGTTTTTTTCAAATATTTAAGTGATAGGTTTCAATTTTTGAGTTTAAAAAACCTATTGGTTTTGAGCTCAATATACCAAAGTTTAGGGTTATAAATAATGGTAAAATTAGGGTTTGCTTTGAACCATAAGTAAAAATGGTGTGTCCAAGGAAAATCCGTGCTTGACACATGTCCAACATGGATACTGCACCCAAAATAAGGTGTCCGGGTAACATAGTCCCTATGTAATATACCACTTAGACAAATCCAACAACAGGTATTAGGTTTTAATTAAGTCAGTTAAAATGACACCTAAATCTTAAGCCAATTAATTAAGCCAATGAACATTGTAGAGAAAATGGAGAAGGCAAATATTGTTATTCATCTAACCCTACTCTTAAATAGAGATTATAGCAGGATATTACAAAATAGGTATTAGATAAACATCCAACCACATCTCATAATATCTCCTAAATCTAAATACCAATAATATCTAATACTTCCCCTCAAGCTAGAGCATATATACTATATATGTAGTTTTTTACAAATGAAACAAAACAGCTAGTTGCAAGAGCTTCGTAATTTCATCTTTGTCTGGAATATTTGAAGATGTCAACAATTCAAAAGTTGTAGTCACAGCCAGTAGATACCCTAAACGAGTTAGCCACTAGAGAGAAACCCTAAGCGTGTCAGCCGGTAAAAATCCTAGATAGGTTAGCCAGTAAAGAGAAACCCTAGGCAAGTTAGCCAATAGAAAGAAACCTTAGGTGGATCAACCAGTAAAAAGAAATTCTAGGCAGATCAGCTCGTAAAAACCCCACGTGGGTCAGCTAGTAATGACAACGTCAGAATCACCTGTGTATTTTTGCATCCAACCATCGAACAAGAACATAAAATACTCACAATGAACTCTACAAGCGGGTTACTGTCCATCAATGAACAGTACCACGATAAACAGTGGTGTTTTTTACTTTTAAAATTAGAGTTTTTCAGGGGTAGGGCTTTTTTGTTAAGGTTCAATAAAGACTTAGTAAATAAATGATGCAGAAATTAAAGATGTTATTGAAGCTGCAGAACGTGTTGTCGTAGCCGCTAAGCGGAAGTATAGAGGCAATAAAACCCCTTGGCGACTCCGAGGTCAAGGAAAAAAAAGAGGTCTCTCTAAAATCAAGAAGACTCTGATACCATGAAGAGAAAATAGAGAAGGCAAAGATCGTTATTCAATAGTTGTGAATATTATTAACTTACTGACTATTCATACTTCATATTTCCTTATGGACTACTTGATAAATAGTGTGATAATAAAAACCAAGTTGAGTATTGGGCCTTACGAAGAAATATAGCCCTTGTATACCAGAAGATTATGCTTGAACACATGGGTAGTAGCGTTTCGAATTGGAAGAAAAAATAAAGTATGTTGCAAAGAAGATTAAAAAAGCATATGTACTCATATTACTTATTATTTTCTCAATAATTATCTAGTATGTAGTCACTTGGACGGATATCTAATGAATTTTTTAGCAATTACTTACAGGAACTCACAATTGTGATGCAATTGCAATAAATAATGGAGAAGGAAAAATAAGACAGGTAGAGAAGTCTGTGGAAGCAAGAAAGATTGAGATGCACTTGAGACGACAATAGTGATTGACTGCTTGGTAAGGGAATTGTTTCATTTAGTTATTTTTTAACGTGATAAAATCTATCAACTTGGCTAGGCAGTCATAAAATATATCTGACTTTGTCTTTATATATATTTTCTTGCTATGATTGAAAACATAAGATTAAATGAATGACATTGTATATCAATGGCCTTATGGTCATTGAGTTGGCACTATTTTGTTACTATTTATTTATAATTATTTTTATAGTTGTTTCACATTGATTGCTCTATGCTTCAAACTTGATCATGCTTTTGTGATAAATACACCCTTACATATACATATATGTATATACACGCATGCATACACGCACACACACTATTATAATATATACATACGTAACATACCTACACAGAGGGTTGCTAGGGGAAGTGGCGCAAAGCGACTGCCAAAAGCCACCCGCTACCTTGAGATGACACGTGTTCCGATTTTCTTCCAAGAGATGGGTCTTGATAAGTTTACTATCTTGCCCCTAAGTGTTTATAAAAGTTGCTAACATATAGCCAACCTTACGCCTTTCTTATTCTTTTTTGGGTTAACTTCACTAAAAACCCCTTCAACTTTGTGGAATTTTTCACATAACCCTCTAAACATTGATTATTTCACATAATCCCCCATGAACTTTAAAGTTTCTCATAATCCCTCTAAACTTTGAACTATTCTCACTAGACTCACGAAATATAATTTGCAAATAAATAAAATTTCCTTAATGAAGAAATCATAAATTTAGGAAAGGGGGTACGTAACATGTGATAAAAATTTAAGCTTTTCTGCTGGAGTACATTTTAGTTATTAGCAAATTACAAGGAGGGGGTCCAACAAGAAAAGGTTAAAGCCGAGGGAGGTTTTGTAAGACACCAAAGTTTAAGAGGCTTATGTGAGATAAACAAAGTTCAAGGGTATAACGTTAAATGACCCCGAGAGTTCTAGGGGTTATGTAAAAATTAACATATTCTATTATATACATTTATTTGCACTAAAGTGACTAAACTAGCCTAAAGTTTATCTTATTTTTCACTTTGATACCCCAAAGTTTTTTCTACCAAAAATACCCTAAATTTCAAAAAATTAACTTTGATACCCAATAGATTTTGTTTTGCCCAGAAAAATACCTTAAAATTAAACATTTATTAAAAAAATTAATTTTGGTATCCTTAATTTTTTGTTAATTTTTTGTTAAATTTTTATTAAAGTTTGGGATATTAATGTTCTCTTACTAAAGTCTAACGTATCAAAGTTTTGAGTTTTTTGAACTTGGGGCATTTTTTGGTAAAAGAAATGTTGGGGCTTCAAAGTTCAAAACGATGTTCATTTTGAGGTATTTCTTAGGGGGGAATATTTTTGGGGTATCACAATTAAAATTGGAGTAAAATTTAGGATATTCAAGTGCAAATTAACATTGGAGGATATGAAAGTTAAATTTTATTTAACTTTGTGGTATGTACTCTTTGGCAAATAAAAACAATGAGGATACCAAAGGTAACAATATGATAAACTTCGAGATATGTAAGTGCAAATAACCTTGTATGGAAAGTTGCATATGTGGTCGGTAATATATGTCAAAATTAGGGGCAAGGACATAAAATTTACCCTTTCTTGTTACAAGAGAAAAAATTAGGGCACCTAGCAATTTGTGTGTATGAGTGACTTTGGGCAGTCGCTTTACGCGACTATCCCTAGCAATCCTTAACCTACACATACATATAAATACAGGCACACACACATACGTACATACATATGTACATATATAAATATTATACATAGTTGTATGCTTGAACACTTGATGCTTCCACATAGATCCATATATCGATATGATATGTTATGTTATAGGATATATACCGAAAGCATACACAATACATCTGATTTGACATTTTCTCCCATCCAATTTGATACTAATTTATTATTATTAGAGTTAATTTAAGACGATAAAGAAAGTTCTTAACTACAATGATGTATACGGCATGAAGAAAGCTATATTGCATCTCCCTTTTTGTCCTCTCCCTTCTCTCCACAGTCCACATCCCTCCAAGAGCCCTTAGCATGGATCCTAGAGACTCCTTGTAGAATAAGCTTCATTCCCTTGTAGTGCCCCTCCCATCACCACTTCCCATCATTGCTTCAACCTACTGATGTATCCATGCCAACAAACAAGGTTTTAACAAGCAATATGACTATAGCTTCTTTCTCACTTCCTTTAGCAAGAAGGCAAATATTAGAAGAGTTCTCAGGAATGACCCTATCAGTATTTGGGAAAGACTTCTTGTCATTCAATGCTAGAAAGATCTCTCTCTCTCTCTCTCTCTCTCTCTCCCTCCCTCTAATGAATTTGTAACAATGGTATTTGGACCCAACTTAGATCGATTCAAAATGGACTTCGTCAGCATCATAACTAAAGAACATCTCCTATGCTTTCGTGACATGACAATACTCTTAAGATAATGACTTAAACAAATGAGTGACTTATGTCTGTAAAATCTTTATCAATATAGCCGAAATCCTAGTTGGTGTCATCAACTTCCTACTTTCCAGAAATCCAAATACACTTTAACAATCTACACAAGTCAAATAATTTTTTTTAAACTATGAAAAAAACAAATCAAAAATAACTTTTTATTTATGAAATTCAACAATGGTTGGAAGCGTCTTCGCCAACGCTTAGGACTTGAGAGCAGTGTCTTAGTTTGACAAAGAAGAGAGGCAAGGCTTGGGAGATAAAGAGAAGAGGGAAATGGTTTCTTTTGTGAAGAAACACCCTATCCTCTATGAATTGGATTTAGAATTTCGGATGCAACTTGCTATCTTCACTCATTATTGTACTTTGGTGGGCCTATAATAGTTTTATATAAGGTGTCACACACTTTTAAGTGACCTACACTTGCTTAAGCATCCTCAAAGCAGCCTAGGTGCTTCTACCTAAGCAAGCATCTAAGGAAGTTGGTAACGCCTGCATGCAAGGGCAGATCTACTTGTATCCTTCGGGAGGCGGTTGCACCCCTAAGGTTATGAGAAATTGCATTCTAGACCCTTCAAATTTTATAATTTGCACCATAATTAAGAATAATTGCACTCTATACTAATGTTAGCCCATTTAAATTAGGAATTTAGCGTATTTATCAAAAATGTTGTTATATAATACTATATTTAAAATTTTGAATAAATAGATATTTTATGTTTGCCTCGTAAGAAAATATTTCTAGATCCACCAATGCCCGCAATGGGATCAATAAAATGAGCATTAAGCCGCAAATGTCTACAAAGCTCAACCTTTAACCAAACATCCCCTCATTTCCCTCCCGTCCTACCTACCAACTACCACTTCTGACACACTTTAATCAAACATCCAATAGTGTGCTTAATGGAGCCTTACAATAGTTTCATACAAGGTATGGCACACTTTAAGCGATCTACACATCATTGTTTTCCCTTCGACCACCTCCCACTTCTTGTTTATTCTCACCAATCCTTAATGGACATCCACATCCAAACCAGATGGCAGATGCTGACACGATGCCCGCCTTTTCCCTAAAAACTAGTGCTATTCCTAATTGCAACAAGCCTCTTGATAGATCCAGATTCCAACTAAAAATAAACTATCAGGATACTGACGATCATGTTTCTAACTTTCTGCTCAACTACTTCACGCTACAGAGCACTAGCGGCCATGGCTTGATGTGTTTTCCGGGAAGTAGTTTCATGACCCTGAGAAAACTGTGGAGTACCATTACCTGATTTCAACAACCAAATAGGTTTCTATGATAAGGCCCACTCTTGCTTAGAATTCCCTTCGGCAAGAACTTCGTACCAACTTAGAGGGCAGGTCACATATACGGTGGGGCATAAAAACTCGGTCAAAATTTCATAGAGATTTCTGGATTCAATCATGCTCATACCAAGCTCAACTAAACAAGGACAGGCTTAAGAGATGATGACGATCAAGACCCTGACGATGAAGAAAAAGCACAAAATAAACTTTATCTCGTATAGTACCTGTGTGGCTACTTCACCAAGCCTTCTATTTGAAGATGCAGAAGACTTGTTCGCGTTAGAATCAGAATGACGACCATGTTTCTGCTCAGCTACTTCATGCTCCAGAGTGTCCAGTGCTTGATGTGTTTTTCGGGGAGTAGTTTCATGACCTTGAGAAACCTGTGGAGTTTCTACACCTGATTTCTTAATTGCAACAGCCTCTGCACTCATGCCCGCAACATTGTTGGACTTTTTGCAGTTCTTAGAAGTACGCATATTCATCTTTAACAATCCATCGGATTCTTTTCTACTGGCATACTTCGTCCTATTGTTTGACGTATTCATGTTGGATGAGTCAGACCATTCTTCATCACTGCTTGAATCTGAAGATTTCCCATATGCTTCCTACAAGGTAAACGATGTTATATGTCAAAATGGACAAAGAAGTACAATTGCCTAGAGTTGTATACACAAACTTGAAATCCAGTGAGTCTGAGAAGCATGAGAGATGAAGTCCATGAATATGCATAGGTTTAGTTTCAACAAAATGACCCAAATAATAAGTTTGGTGAATCCATCTCCTCAAAAGAGGGCGAGCACATGAACATTAAGATGAAAATAAATAAAGGAATCTGCAAATAATTACATCATGCAGATGGTTCCCTAAGAAGAGTGAGAAAATGAAAATAATGAAATAAAATAAAGGAGTGCGCAAATAGGTACATGGTGCAGGTGCTCCATTGCGCATATGCACAGGCAAACATTATATTAGAACACCAGAGAGAAGTTGCATGAAGATTGCTTCGATGGTGTTACCCTTTATGTCAAAGGGGTCAAAATGGAAGTTAGGCATGCATCGATAATTGGACCAAATAGAGCTGACATTGTCTCAAAGATGTAGTTCACACAAAAGTTCTAATATGTCACATGTTGTGCCCAGGCAGACCAGATACAGACCCTTTTTTCTTTATTTCTGCTAAAGCACATCAATGGCGCTAAAATAAAACTAAAAGGCTTCTGATGAAAACCAGTGAAAGTGATCTTCAAAAAAACCAACTCATTCTTTCAAGTGCCGAATAAGCAAAAGATCAAATTGAGTAATCACTCTCATAGGAGATAACACACCAGAAGTTAAATTTTATTATTGATTAATATTATCAAAAAAAATTTCCAAAACCTCCTTCAGATAACTACTAAAGGATAATGCAACGGTCTTAAAAGAGCTTCGTCCTGATTTTGTTTGAAACATTTTAAGCTTTCAGAAAATCCTTAATTTCTCTATGAACTATGAAGTAAATCAAAACTTGTATTTTTCGATGGTGCAGTGCACATATATATTACAGAATAACATGATGAATCATAAGCTGCTATGCATTTAGAGAAATTGTTAAACCAGAACATTGCAAATCATAAACCTAGAGGCGCTACTTGTGGTTTAAATAACATCTGGCTATCTGAGTGCCTCTGGATCAGATATGTCTGTATCAAACAAAAACCTTTTGGTCAGGACATTATATTAGCTACATGACAAATTGACCAATGTAATAAACAGTCCATCAAGTTGCTCAAATCTCAACAAGTCATATCAGCAACTAAGCATCACCATGAAACTAGCAAAAGCATAATTGGAATAGCTATAAATTTAAAATTTGAAGGTTGCACACAAGTTCAACTTGCACCCATAAACATAAGTCATAGTGTACAATAACAGTATTTAGAGTCCATACTGCATATTTTAGCACCATCTCCTATAAAAGGCATATGTAATAGACACCCTACATTCATTCACATGTTTAGTTCTCCACTAGTGATGATTATAGTGCTTCAATAGCTGAATTATCATATATCCCTTTCAACACACAGTATTTTGTCCAAGACATAAATAACAAAGATAAATATATCTTCTGTAATGCCCCGACCAAGACACTTCACTATAGGGGTCAGATTGTACTAGATTGGGCATGACTCAGAATTTCCTGATGCTTAAAAGATATACAAAGGTTTGACTAAAAATTTCAACATGACCATCCATACAGCCAAGGTTGCATGTATAATAAATATCCCACCTCAATCTTAATCCCACGGTAATATCCACAAAAATATTATCAAAAGAGTACTTAATCAGTCCAAAATATCTAGTTGACAGCACAATTTCAGAAAAAGAATTTTACTGCAGTGCAGAATCGTGGGAATTCATAACCTACGTTATCAACTGCTCAAGTCTGACAAAATCACAACTTCAGCCAAAATTGTTTTACAAAATATTATACTATGAACACCTAACTGCTCAAGTCTGACAAAATCACAACTTCAGCCAAAATTGTTTTACAAAATATTATACTATGAACACCTAACGAAATATTCTCTCAAATATCCTAAGGAGCTAGTGGTTCCATAGGTGCCTTACCTTTACTCAGCTCACCTGATGCGTACAAATGCAACCACATATATGTGGTAAGCGAGATCTCAGCAACTAACATAAACAGGAAATAAGGAATATAACGATTTGGGAGTGTTTAGGTGTCCACATAGGCCTAGGCCACCTAACTAGTGCCTAGTGCCTGGGCCGTATCTAGGCTGCCCACCTAGGTTTTGGGAGTGTTTAGGGGCGCATTGTCTGCTTACGTGAACTACAACCCTTAGGCACTAATCGTGATTTTCTGTGTTACAACCTCCAAGTCATCCAACCTCCTTCAAACTCCTTTAACATCCAAATATGAACACCTCCACTACCTCTTTCGGACCTTCAGCAAAACCTCCTCAACCACAACTTAAGTGAAAAGAGAACTCCGCTTAGACACCAGTCCGACACCTAAGCTTTCCATAACATTAACATTTACTATCAATTATTATAATTAAAAAATAAAAAAAAACCCTCCTAGGCTCTAGGTATCGGGTCCAATGCCTAGACCTCCTAGTGCTTTCTATAGTCTTCTTAGTTATTATTTTGGTTATTTAGTATTTAAGTACGCATGGTCTATTGTGGATCTAAAATTACTATCTTTTTTTGGGCAAATTTATATGAATTTAATACATATTTTTATCAATTATTATAATTAAATAATTTTAAAAATAGTCATACACTTAGGCGTCTAGAGCATGTTTGCTATATCCACTCCCAAACAGTAATTTTGGGAGTTGGATTGCCGAAAATGCCCTTTTGATGTTGAGGGTGTTTCTGGAATGGACTTGACCTGTTTTGGTTTGGGAGAAGGGCAATTTAGTCCTCACACACCCCCAAAGTTACTGTTTGGGAGTGTGAATAGTTAGACCCCGTCTAGAGCTAGGCACTGGCTCAAACGTCTAGTCCGCCTAGCACCTTCTGTAACATTGGTACTTTGGTACTGAAGGAAAAGAAAGAGGGTCGTGAACATTGGTAGAAGCTTTTAAGGAAAGGTTAGACAGGTCTGAATTCACAAGAAAAATAATTTTGAGTAAAGCAAGAATGCCTAAACATTTCATAAAGACAGCCCTGTCAGGTCAATGCCAATAGTTATCCTTACGTTAATGAACTAACCAACAACACATGTAACATTAACTTTAAAATATGCTCAAGTGCTGATTAGCATCAAAGAAAATAATTATGAAAAATCAAGATGAGCGTCAGAAAGAATTTCTGTTGGCATGTGCATGATGATGAATATATTGATATTATATACTATTTCTAAGGAAGAAAAGCTTACATCATACAACTTTTTGTAATCTAATCTTTCAAGCTGCCTTTTTCCTGATGGGACCTCATTTTCTTGGCCCAAGACTGGTTCCGATGGAGAAAGAAGCTCAGAACTATCCATATTTCCAGAGTATGTTCCTTCACCAGATTGGGCAAGAGGCTTCAGATTTGACAAAGAGGTCGCAGAATCTTCATTAATACCTAAATTTTTACTGAGTTCATTACAGAACTCGTCGGAATCTGACGTAAAGTCTGATTCATCTGAACTCGAATCTTTTGAGATGTTTTTACTGGCATCTGGAGCATCAGGGTCAAAATCATCATCTTCTGAATCATCTGAAGAAGGTAATCCAAAATTTTCATTTTTCTTATTACTGTTTGGAGCATCTGAATCCTCAGAGGCAGCACTAAAATCCGAGCCTTCAGATTCTGATTCTCCAGACTCTGATTCTTCAGACTCTGATTCTCCAGGACCTGATTCCCCCTTGTGATCATTTACATCAGCTTCTAGACCATCAGGATCATAATCATAATCCTCTGAATCATCCGATGGCATGTCATCATGCTGCTTATCTCCATTAGTGATAGCAACTGCCTCGGGAAAAACTTTCTGAAAATAAATAAGGAAAGCTTTCAGCTAGGGATTGCTTAATGCCGCCAGTGGGGTTTAGCGCATTCAAACGGCAAGAAAAAACTAAGCACTCAAAACAAGGAAATCTACAAGAAAAAAAATTCTACCATTTATTACTTACCTCCCATGTGTCCTTAATAGATATATTACTTCCTTGAAATTCATTCAGTAATTCAATGCAGTCTACCTTGCAATCACAGGCTGGACATAACCACCCTTCATCCCCAAGAGGAACTGGAAAAAGCAATCAGATAGTTAGTGCAGTCAAATATCTGACTGCTGCCAACTTCTATCTAAAACATCAAACCAACATAGAATTTAGAAGCTTGATTTTACTATCTTCACTCAACAGAGGAGGATTCAAACACTTCTGATGGAAGCCTCTATCGCATATGCCATCACAAAGTATGATATCATTATCAAGAGACACGTCCTTTGAAGCACATTTAGCGCAAAATATCTGACATATGCGGGAAAATTTTGTAAATTAAGTCATACCGAAATAGTTTTAAGAGCTCTTACTAGAAAAGGATGATGATACAAATATATTTCACTTTAATTTGCTTTGGTCAAGGAGTTACGTACATCTTCACTATCAATTTGCCCTTCTGAATCGAATAAAGATTCCTCGAACTTTCCCTCAGAAGATAAAGAAACAAGGTGTCGAAATAGTTCCCGTATTTTAAATTTACAACGCAAAATTTCAGATTTTGCTCTTTCAAGCTCCTTCTCAGGTTTTAATTTCTCTGCACTGAAAGATTCAAAACAGTAATATAAGTAAAAGAAAAGCAGAACATGCAAGTAATAGATCCAAATATTCAGGTAGAGATGTAGACAAAGAAATTTCACTACCAAATAACTTTCGAAGTGAGCACACACACACATATCGATAATAGAAAACTTAAAGAGAAAGATACAGCGAACAATTATAATATGTGTGAAGCATCTTCTTATTTTTATCAAGCAACTATAAAACATCTCATGCTGAATTGAAAACTAATTTCAATAAATACCAATAACATTAGCACCGATATTGCTTTTTTCTCTCTTGAGATATCATAAAAGGACATAAAATGCTATTCATAATGATGCTAATCACAAAATTATTAGCGCGTCAAAATGTAGAAGGGCTATGAGATCATATGTTATAAACTTATAAGGTAATCAAATATTCAGAAATTCTTGCTGGTGGGAATGTCATAGTTGGTTAGGTGATCAAACAACTTAATTGTGTCAAGAGATAACAAATCAATGAACCAATCAATGAACCTAACCTAATCAACTCGTGCAGCACTCGGCTCAGCTCACGTTCCCCCACTAAAGTGGCTAAGTCAGCCTTCACTCCAAGAAGACGCAAGAGAATAATTCAAGAAAGATCATGTTACATTGCTATTTTACATCGAAAGAGTTCCATAAATTAATGGATGTAAATAACTTACTAAAGACTTCTTCCGAATTCTAGGATTTCCTAATAAATGTCTTCTATCTACAAGTAATATGTTTGACTTTCTAGGACATTCTCCCAAACTATTTACTTATAGAAGAATACAAGAATATCTATATGTCATAGATTAGCCATGTCATCATCCTAGTAAGCATCTCGGGTGTACAAGTTGACTATGCAGCCTGTGCCAGCTGCATAGCATAAATAAATACAAACTTCAACAGGTGATATGCAAGGCAAATATTTTGAAAATCTGAAACCTTCTAGAATAAAATTTTAAACATTGATAACATTATCATGGTTCAAAATATAGAGGAAATTTAGCATGATACAACTGTGACTAGAATAGATGGAACTGTAAGCAAGAACAAAGCATAGGTACATCTTCATTCTGCTATTATTCTACAGAAGTAAAAGATCATGGATACTTGAGAAACTTTTGACTAACTCCTCATCCAAAATTATGGATCACTGCTACCTCCAGCAAGGACAAGGTTTTGAAAAATCAAAACCTTCCATATTGAAAATCTAAATGTTGACAACATTATATTGCTCCAAAATATGGTGGAACCTTAACATGTATAAGTCTAAATAGTATAGATGAAACTGTAAAAAAATACATATCACAGATTCATCCTTAGTCTGTTATTCAATAAAAAAAAGGCAAAACATATGTATCGCTACTACCCTAGCAGGTCACCCCTAAAAGCAGGTGTATCATCTCTCCTCACATCCTACTTTCCCAATTTTGGATTGTTGGTACCTTAGATAGCATTGTTCATGATGATTATTTCTGTCCTTGACATTATGCATTATGATCACTAGAAAAGCTATTCTTGTAGGAATCACACTTCCATTGCTTCAAACCTAGCTTCAGTTACATGTGCATGCTGGCTTATTCGTTTCAACAGGTCTTCAAACTTATAGTCAGTCTAGTTTGTAGCATGCACTCTAGCATAGGCTCTATACCAATACAATGAACCAATAAACTATAGAAGCTAAGATGCAACGCAATGAACAAACACACAAGTGTATTAGATGCAACTGGAACTTCTAATCTAACCGATACAGTGAAGGAATCTAAATCTGTGTATACCCTAGTGCAATCAGGTAAATTAACCTAAATACACCTCAGGATACCATGAATGAATCCTGAAAACTCTGAAGTAAGAAACATGGCATAAAAGCCAACATGATATGATCTTAGGCTATAAGAGCAGTGCAAGACACACACACAATGTAGAAGGACAATAGGATCGGCTAGGGATTTTTTTAGGTCAGAAGGAGTTCAGCCTGAGGAAAAGGTCTTTTTAGCATTCAGGTCGATTTGCAAAAGAGTTTGTATGTTCAGTGATACAGCTATGAGGTTTGAAAGAAGTTATAGGTTTAAATGAAAGGCTTTTGATCTAGACTAAATGTAAGATAGGATATCGAGACTTTACAAGATATCACAACTGGTATCAATTAAATTTCACATCCAAACCCCGCCAGCTGCATGCAAGCATGCACAGATAGACTTGGGTCCTTTTGGCAAGATTTGGAGACAAATCCTCCCTGGTTAGAATTTGATGATGGAACATCAACTTTTATCACCCCTAAAGTAAACGCGTTGGAATAAAGGTATTATTTTCTGATAATAATATTCTTCTTTTTATTATTCTTCGTGTATTCAAAGGTTATTTTCTTTGTGGGTTTGAAGAGTCTTGTGGATTCCTCGGTTTAACTTTTATGCTACGTCAACTGGTATCAGAAGCATGTTTTCCTCTTATCCAATGGCAAACAAAGCTCTTATTACCATCACCGAGTTTTAGCCTTTTAAGGGAGAGATGAAAGCTGAGGTGTAAGCTCCCATCGCTGCTTCCATTGACTAATTTGCGTTGATGCTAGGGCACTTGAATCCCAGATAAGATCGAGATCACGTTGATCGTGATGGTTGCTAAAGATGAAATCGAACTCTAAGGGATAAATCCAGTAATAGTAGCAAGGTTTTAAATATCGATTATCGAAGATTTATCGGACAATCAAAATCCATATCGAATAGCAGATATCGGGATATATCGGGGATAAGTAGTGTTTATCGGAGTGATATTACCGAATCGTGATATACATAATATAATATTCTAGAATGTAATCTAACCAAACTTAATAAAATATAAACATAACAAAATGTAAATAATTATGTTTAGAATCACTAATCAATAGTAGAAACTCGGGTTAGGTCGGGTTTTAAAGTGCATTGAATAGGTGCATGTTGCCCGAAACTAAAACTCAAGCTAAAGGCCAATAATTTCGATTTTTAGGCCGACAATATCGACCGATAACTCACTTTATCGCCGCATTATCGGCTATAACATTCACAAACGATAACCGATTTAGAATCAAACTTATCATAACGGAAGGCCCCCAAAACCGATATATCGACCATAATATCGGTTTATCGGCCATTATTTAAAACATTGATTAGTAGCAATAACTATGAAGGCCCATGTCATGATCGTGATCGTAGTGGCTACCGAGGAGTTGACAGGATAATTATGATGTCGAAGGATTCAAATTGAATGTATACCTATCATCCTTCAATGGAAACTCTACATCGAGGATTTTCTCAATTGGATTGTTAAAGTAAAACAATTATTTGAATGCATCAGTATATGAAGATCCAAGAAGATTAGAGGGGTCTTACTAACCTAAGGGTAAAGCATCTGCATGGTGGGATCAAGTATTGATTAATCAAGTCTGTCCGCACAAGCAACCAGTTCAAACGTGGGCGTCGGGGCGAAGATAAAGAAATGTTAAGAGATTGTTTCATGTCTATTAATTACAAACAAGATCATGTCTTCACAATGGACTTTTACCTTAGTCAACAGTCAATCTGATCGAGAAGGTGAAGCGACAACTTGAAGAGAATAAAAAAGATCCTCACCATGAGCGTCTTACGTTCTCACACTATTTATGATCATGGCGAGGCAAGACTAAGAAACCCTTATCTGCTCTTGATTAACCGTTGGAGTTGTGAAGAACACAAAAGAATCAAAAAGAAATACTAGATCAGATATGTCAATCATAAAACTAAAGCCATCCAAGACAAACACTACTGAGAAGAAAACCCTGTCAGTGGTGGACAACAAGATGTATGCAAATAATTTCTCCTGTAGATTCCATCCAAAGTGCAAACTCCCTTGCGCCAGTGATTCAACAAGAACTCTCATCTAAAGGGTAAAAGAATAATTAGAGAAAATCAATGCCAAGTACAAAGTGGATGTTGATCGGCGTAAAAGAAAGAAAAGTGTTTAAGGAGGAAGCACATGCTCAAATGAATATAAGCTCAACATCGAGCCCTTTTCAAACAGGGGTGACTAATGAAGACGCTTCACGCTTGGTGGACGAATTACAAAAAGTAGGGGGCTACTAGAAGCGCAAACGAGGTGTAATATGAATTGTTGACTTGATCACGAAGAAAATGCAATATCTCGCAATCCAGAAGAAAGATCAGACATACAACATATGGAAATCGCCTAATGCAGCGAGATAAAACCAATAAACTAGCATATTTCTAAAATTCCATCAGTAGCACCCTTATTTTTAGTAATATAGTGAAAGTCCATTTAGGATAGGAAACATATTCAGTTTTGATTCAAAATTGACTAATTTATTTCCTCTATTATAAGAAGCCTTTTAACTAGCTTTGATATTTTCTACTTTTAGGAATTTCATTCCTACTAGAGATCGATTATGTTTTTCTATTCACGTAAATGATTGTAAACTCGACATAATTATTATTTTTTCATCAATAATATTTTCTCTTTGATGTTTCTCCATGGATTGCAAGTTCTTGAAGAGAATTATTTAATTATTATATCTCCATAGAAGATCTTCACATATTATTAGGATATCTTCAACATCCTGTAATAAAGATGAATAAAGATGAGTCCGGAGCCTTTGAGCCTCATCACAAACTAAAGGGTGTGTGCATATTATTTGTAATAAGTTTTACATACATTATATATATATGCTACAGCTTAAGGGAAGCATTAAGGAATATATTAGGAAGGGATATACGTGTGAATGGGAGTGTGCTAAAGACTTATATTAGCATATTAGGAAAGGATTTATTAGAGATATGTTGAGGGAATGGATGCTAAGATTATGTTTAAACATATTTTTAGAATAAGTATCATATATTCCATTCTCTAGTATTATAACTAATAGAAATCAACAAGGCTCAATAATTGAGTCCCTAGTTTGTTCAACATGAAGAACTAAAATCTCTTTCCTCCTTCTATAGGAACTATATATGGCATGGATAAAATATGCGTGGGTGTAAGTTTAATTGACAGTTTTTCACTAGAACTTTAAAAAAGCTTAATGAGTTAGTGCTAGTGGAACCTTCCCCCTCCTTCCCAGTAGATTTCATAGTTTATGGTGGAGAAGATAGAAGTATGTTTACTCTAATGTGCATTTGTTATACAAACCTATCCGCTAAACTTTGGGGTCAAATGCGTTAACCTTTAGGTTAAAGTAATTTCTAACAGGTTTAAATACATTACCTAATTTGATGTAAACTCTAGTTGCATATCAATAAATAGAAGTTTGGGCTTCTTAAATAATATTTCCATAATTCTGCATAGGCCATCATATGCTAGTTCAGTAAACAGAGAACCAAGAGGTAAGGAAGCTAACAAGATAGCTTCTTGTGATTTGGCATAGAATTACAAGTAGTCCTGCCAAGTACAAATGATTAATACATCCCATACAAGTAATTGATCATTTATTCATATGGGGCGATAACATGAGCCAATCAGATATCTCTCCTTCAAAATCCATCTAAATGTCAAAGTTTCCAACTCCTCATCCAGCCAGTTGAATGGTATCTATCTAACTTAATCAGTTTTCACGACAATTTGAACAATTCAACTGTACAGAAGCGTTCCCATTCTACAATAAACTTAAAATACATAATAAAATTCTTCATATAGATAAGCTATAGAGTTCTAGCATGGCAGAACAGAAGATTACTTCAAGAAAGTTCAAAAATACTAATCAGATACATATGTGTTGTTCAATTTTATAACAAGAAATATGAAAATAACGTAAACAAGATGTGCAATGTTAAATGAAATTCAGCGGGCACATACCTTTGGCCTTTCCACCCTTCACCAGCATATGCATCAATCAGGTTCTGCTCATAGTTCATTCGCGTCAGCAAGTATCTTACTCGTCTCCTGATCACTGAAAATTCATCATTTGAAGCTCCCTTTACTCCTTTTCTTTTTTTCCGTCCTTTTTTTACTGTATTAACTGGGGCATTACCTTGCCCAGGTTGGGTGTTATTTGTTGTGTTTGACATTGACCGAAGAACTCTGCCAGTACCTAATGAAGACCTTAACGGATATCTTTTGCCATTCAGCTGAGAAGAAACTTTCTTTCGCTTGCGTGGAGATTTATTAGGACTCTTCACTACATCATTGTTTACATCCACCTTTCCCAATTTTGACAAATCAGTTTCATCCTGCTCAGCCAGTATGCTTACATTTTCAGGACCAGCAAACCGGGACTTCGTACATCCATTTTCTGTAATTCCAGATCTAGGCTCATGAACCTGAAGCCTGGGACTCTGTCTTGAAATACTTCTTATCTCACTACTGCTGGAGATAGGGGAAGCCATGTCCACATTAAAAAAGCCTCCCAACTCTAACAACCCCAACAAACTGCATGCACACCTGTAAGGCTTTAGGTTGATCAGAGAAAACGTTTAATCAAACACGCAATCCCGCTTACAGAACATAACATCAAAGAATCCTTACTCCGCATATAAGCACATAATAATTGCAACGATACCCACAAATGACAGCATGGCACTCTATAAGGAAATGCATAACAAAACTAATAGCAACCAACAAATTAAAATATACATGAAACATATCTCATTTTCTTCTAATCAGGAAGGCGAGGCATATGCTACATTGAGATAACATTAAGCATTTATATTCCCAAGCAGGATTATAATAACTTAACAATGACCTGAATGAATGTTGAAATGTTGAAATTTTGAAATATGGTCAAACATTGATTGCTAGTCTGAAATTTAAAATAAAATCGTGAACTTCCATTGAATGTCGTTTTCTTCACAAGAACATTGCCAAAATGATGTGACCGTGATTTGTGACTCTATCGACAACTCTTTTGAACAGCTACAACATTTAAGAAGTGTGATGTCCCCAACACTCGCCTAATCCTTAATTATAGTCTTATAGATATACACTGAAGTTTCGAACCATCAATAGTTCTTCTTTCGGAGAAATGACACTGATTGGTTACATTCATAAGATGCTACAAAAAGGGTACTAGCATTTTGCGCATACACCAACTAATTTTACGCATCAATACAAGTTAGTGTGCCCGTCGTAAAAGGGGGCCACACCATTTGCGGGTAGCTTGTTGAATATCTTAAAATAAGAAGGAAACAAAAAGGATTATTGAACGAAGCTGAACCGTTCACCATTGAAGAGTTCATGCCAGTGAATTGGATTGTATGAACAAAATCACATTAGAGAAAAAAATAATCACCACGAAGTTCAGGTGTTCCAGAAAGCGATTTTTTAGCAATAAAAGAGATTAATAAAAAAACACATTGTGCTTCCCGATTTATTAAAAAAAATCACAAGTTTTCCCCTGATTTCGTTAACATTCTTGGCATCTAAACATCTGAAGGGGAACAAGATAAATAATTAGTTTTAAAAAAAAGACAACTTTAATATCTAGGGCACGAAAGAGCAAAAAGCTTTATAAAGAAACTAGAGAGAGAGAGAGAGTAAAGCTTACACTTAGCCGCCTAGGTTGCGCCGAAGAAGGGGGAGAGAGGGAGAGAGGAGTGAGAGCGCATCTATGTATGAGTAACAATTAAGGGCGATGGCGGTGGAGATTGATTGCTATTTCGGAATTGGGATTGGGATTCTGAATCTGCGCCCTTGCTTTGTGTGGGCCTTAATTGTGCGTTGGGCTTGGGCCGAGCAATGAAAGTGTTTGACAACTTTCCCAGAAGATGAATCCGAATGAGGGTAGCTGCACATTTAGCAAAGTGAGTTATCATATTTAATGGGTATCGTCATAGGAATGGGTATCCTTGTCATAGGAGGAGATTTTCCTCCTTATCGTCTATGTAACATAATCCTCACCATCCTCATAAAGTATGCACAAATCACCACCAACTCACACACTCTCTCCTACTTTATGAGGATGGTGGGGATTGTGTCACATAAGCGTCCAGGAGAAATCCCCTCCTATAACAAGAATACTCATTAATCTCTTATATATATATAGAGAGAGAAATATGAGTATGCTTAGTACCAAGCATAAAATTTGTGCTTGGTAGTGATGTGGCACAATCCCCTCCACTCATTCAAATGGAGGACCACATTCACATGGGTTGAGAAGTGCATGAAGATATTCAACCATTTGAATGAGTGGAGAGGGTTATGCTACCTCATTACCAAGCACACATTTTTTGTGCTTTGTACCAAGCATACTCATTTGTTGATGTCTGGAATCACACAGGCAATAGGGGGGGAGGTTGTTTGCCGAGGGAGGATGATAAAGGATAAATGAGCCGACTCCCCCTCCGACTTTATGCCTAACTCTAAACGCACGGGATGGACTGATGGCCTGCACACACAAGGAACGTCGGGGTACGGGGCGTGTTTTCCCCATGGTACCTCCGACGGTCAAGTTAAATGATGAGTTTGAGGGAGGTTTTGGGGAGAGTCCCTGGGCCATTGAGGTCCATGCAGGGTACATTCTCCTTTTAGAATTTATTTAGAAGCAACTTGAAGAAAAGAATGACTTCTTAGTTTTTTGAGTTCAAAAGAACCTCAGTCCCCAAAAAAGAGACCCTTTTTTTATAGGCTGTTGAGGATAGACATGTGGCTTCATCAGGGGTCTGAGGACGATGGTGGGGGATGAGCTGGAGGCTGAGTCTGCAGTAGTCCTTTCACGTGTCGGTTGACGACTGGAGGAGATACTGTTTCGAGATGATCTTGATAAGGCCCCAGGATTGATTAGATGGCGTATGGCCGAGAATACGGCGAGGTGCTGAGTCGCCCTTATCTTTACAGATGACAGTTAGTGATTGGAGGGCGAGGCACTCGAGTACAGAAGGTGCCTCGATAACGTCCCAGGTTTGACGGATAAGGATAAAGGGAATATAGGCTGACTGATCTAGCCACTCATTGCTTCACAGATGGCAGCTGGCGACTGGCGAAAAGGTCGTCTGAGCTTAGAGGGTGTCTTGATTACGTCCCAGAAGTGACTTGGGAATAGAATGAGCCGTCTTTGCATTTAAGACTTTGTCAGAGTTTGAGACTTTTGATGTGACTGATCAATACTGTGGTTGATTGATGTATATCTTGGAAATAGCTCAGTTGGATGACTCGGATCTTTATCTTCCCCAGCAGGATTGTATTGGAAGGCGGGTCATTCTCGTAACTTGTTGACTAGATAAGTGAGTCGTCAGCCTAGTCAGACAGCTCGGTAGACAGCCAAGTTGCCACTAGGAGGGTCGTCTCGATTGGAAGTTGGGTGGACTCTCGAGTAGTCGCCTTAAAGGCGAAGGGCCTACTGCTTCCGCGCTTCATGTCAGCTAAAGCGTTTGGCTTTTGGCTAGGTTTTTCAGCTGAGTCGATTTGAATTGTGACTCCATTAGGCTTATGGAGAGATGATTATTTGGTAAGAATTTTTTAAACCGTATAACAAAATATAACTCTTTCTTAAAACAATAGAACTCCTCAAATAATTTATTTTCTCTTTTCTTAAATTACTCATGGATTGCACGTGATGCATGTTATATTTATTCACATAGACAACTGTTATATATGGATATATAAAAGGATAAATTTTCAAAACCATCCTATTTGAGATCACTACCACAAAATAGGTATATGGGGACGGTTATTTGGGGACAGTTCAAAACTGTCTCCTTTGCCTCCTAAGGGAACGGTTATGTGACGGTTCCAATCGTCACAAAAGAGTTTAAGGTAACGCTTCAAAATAAAGTGTTGGGTTTGAATTAGGCTTGAAAAAAAAAACTTTAGTTGGCTAAAGGGACGGTTTTATTAAGGGCTCACGCCCAAACTTTTTTAACAAAGGGGATTTATTTGTTTCTCTCAGAACGGCTCTTCACCCAATAAGCTCTTAACCTTTATTCTTCATCTCTGAGTCTAGGGTTTTCTCATCTTCCTACAATCGAACGCGTCTGCGTCCGCCGCGTCGCTCTGGCGCTCTCGTCGACTAGTGGTCCTCAGTCCTGCGGTGCCTCTCCTCTCGTTGACTCCCCCGTCCGCCGGCCACCTCGACTTCGTGTTTCCTCTCGTCGACTCCTCCGTCTGACGCCGGCCACCTTGACTTCGTCCGTTCGCCATGCCTCCCCTATTATCCGCGCCTCTCGTCATTATCCCTCTCTATCATCTTGTGATTTGGGGTACTTATCTCTCTCCTTTTCAACATTCAAACCTAGGGTTTCAAATTTTTTCTTTTTCTCTATTTAATGAAAATTTTATTTGATTTTACAAATTAGGGCTTTGTTGTCTCAGTTGATCATTGAAAGTGGTTGAAAATTCTACATCCTTACTGGACAAGTTAATCCTCAAAATTGAATTTGTATATGTTTTTAATTTTTGTTTAAATTAATTTACTTTCTCTATTTATTCTGTTTATGCTCTTCTCTATAGCCTTCTGTGCCAGGAACATCACATATATCAACCAGTTTCATATTGCATCGATTGCCCAAGATTGAAGCTGATGAAGAACTATTGGTCTCTGAGACCCAAGAATTCATTAGTGATAAAAACTCATAAAAGTAGCAGTTGGCGCAGAGAACTGAAAAATGGTGATCAAAGTCAAGTTCGCCCACCTGTTGCATTTGCTTCGGTTGCTCCTTTCCCTTTCTTGCCTGCTCCTTTGTATGTTTCCCCAGATTCATGAGGTATGCTTATGACCATAACTTATCCCCATAGTATTTTGTGGTTACTATGTGTAATCTGTTCCATAAACTTTTTTTTATCCCTTGAGAACTGGCAGGTTTTTCTTCTCAAGTTTTGATGTAATTAAGCCAAATCTTGTCTACATGGCTGTTTTTTGTTTTATGTCACCGTCAACATGTAAAATAAGTTGAAAGCAGGCGCTTGAACAGATTCTGGGTGTCCTTGATAAATTTGTCTTAATCTTTTCTCAGTTTCTTTATTGTTTATTTTTTGGTTGAATATGTACATGGAAAGCTTGAGATATTTGGCATCAGTGTGGAATTCACCTGCTAAATTGACTGTAGTCATTTTGGCTGAATCCTGCAGCGCCCAGAGATTTTATTTTCTAGCAGGGTTAAAATAGAGAATTAGAGAAATTAGTAAATTTAACAAAACTGTCGTGAATTATTACGACGAGTTTGGGTACAATTGTGATAACAATGAAGTTGATAATTATATTAGGTATGATTCATTACTTAATTATTACTTCTTATTTAATGTTGTTGTCCATATTTCACTTTATAGACCTATGTATTTTGTATTGTTATGCAGTGAACATAAACTTTTGATTGAGAACCAGTCAAGAAAAAGAGGCAGAACAAATAAATGGACGGGAGCTCAAAAGCACAGCAAGGACTTTACTGATTGGTTTAAAACTAGAGTATCTAAGTTGGAATCAGCATCAGAGTGGTAGTTTTTTTATTAGGTTCACTTCTAAATTCATTGCCAATAGCATCAGAGTGGTAGTTATTTGTGCATATGTTAAATGATCTTTGAGTGCTTTACATCTTTTCCTCTTTAAAGGTAAAAGTAGTGCATTATACCTGTATTCACTTGCAACGTTTAACTTCTATCAGCAGCAGATCATGCAAATAGTTCACAATGCCATTATTTTAATTTACTAATTAATAACTATATAAGTTCATGTCTTTGCTTTGAAGCCTGGAGTAGTTCAACTAATTAATAACTGTAACATTGCTTTATCATGCTTATAGCAATCAGGAACTAAGCTCATGTTGAACATGAGACTTGCACCTGAATCTCTTCAAAACAATGTTAATGCATTGACTGGAACATCTAGCAATCAGGAAATAGCTTTCAACTTTCAAGAGAAAATGAAGGTGATTATGTACGTAATACATCTACAGTGAAATGAACAATTGATAGACCACTTGAAAGTCGTATGGAAAAGTTGTTGACAACCTCTATAGCATCAGATTAGGTGTTTTCTATTCATGAGTCCCAAGCTTGAATTAATATTGGTGCAAATTAAATATATGGTTTCAGTCACTATATATCTTGTTCTTTTTAACTTTCTTTTCCCTCCAGTGTAAGTAGACCGATAATGGTTTTCAAAAACATCAAATTTAACTTGTTGCCTCCATTTAACTTCATTGCATTTAACTTTTTGATAGTGTGGACCTCGAGTTTAAAGTTTTTAATATTTGAAAATTTTTCATTTCATTTTTCTAATTTCTGTATTGATTATTGGTTGGTGTCTTCTGAAAAACAACGCAGATAGCAGACCTAAGCTTATCGCCGGTTCAGTAGCAGGATACACTGGCCATGTTGATGGGAGACCACGAGAAGGAAGGATGAACCATAAACTTTCCTTGTGATGATACACAAGCTATTTTCCTTTAGCCAGCTATCTTGGTTTGTAAGGCATAAATTGCTCATTGCATTATTTTCTTTGAGCAATTGGAGATTAAGACATAAGTATCCTTATTGGTAAAATTTATATTTGTTCTTTCCCTCTTATTTATGTCAAGTATTTATGATCACAATTTTTTATTTTTGTTACCTCCTGGGAATAAATACCTTATGATCATACCTCTGTTTCTATTTCATTTATGTTAGTCAATGGTATAGCTGATGGAAAGATGTAATCGATATGCACGATGATCGAAAAGAGGCAATTTCCTATGAAATTTGGATCATAAATAGGTTAATGCAATGATATTTATTGTCATCAAGGTTATGCTGCAGGGATATTTGCACTTGGTCGTTGCTCTCCGTGGGAGGCTGGAAATTACAGTGCTGGTGACTCCGGTTGAGAGCCTTAATATTGTTGCTCATCACCAGATTCTAGTCCATGCTTCTGTTGTTAAGCTATATAGAGATACTTTTTGTTTTAATGAAAGAGGAATTTTAGTCATGTACTTTGGACAAAAGATTTGATTCATTAGTTTTTAGCGTGAAATTTTAGACGAGTTCTTCATTTGAACTTTTTTGGAACAGATGCACAAAACACCTTCAGTGCCAAAATTCGGTGTTTGGGATGAAAAGGGTCCTAAATCAGGAGATGGGTTCACTGTTATCTTTAACAAAGTTAAACAAGAGAAGCAAAATGCTGCTAGTAAGCTTCCGAGAGTTCCAATAGATCCAACTATTCATCCAAGCAAGCGTAAGAATATTGTTCCTTATGTTTGGTTGTTAATTTGCTTGCAAAATTTGGAGTTTCATTTCCTTGTTTGTGACATGATCGATTTATTTTCAAGAATCGACCTATTTGAGATTTATTTAGCATTTTCAACCTAGTTTCAGTCAACTGTTTCAGTCAACTAGCTGAAACTAGGTCGAAAATGCTAAATAAAAGATGAATAAATCGATTTTTGAAAATAAAGTTTTAAATGGGTGTGTTTTGAAAATTTGTCTAATATAAAAATATCTAATAGAAATGCCACAGACATAAGTTTTTATATAAAGAAAACTGAATATTTTTATGGTTCAAGCACTTTTTATCTAGTGGCTCCATTTTGATTACAAATTTAAGGATACTTTTTAGGGTTAATGGTTAATATAACCCATGTACTAGTCCAGTGGTAGATAGACTCTTTGTAGTTCTGTTGGTGCAGATAGACCACCTCAGTGAAATTTTTTTTTTACTCTTTAAATTTTTTAAAAAAATTAGCAATTGAGTGTCCATCTTCACCAAACAAAACTACGGGGATATAATCTCCTCCTCAAGTATCTATTAACTTTTTAAGAATAAAAAAAATTCACTCAAGGGACCTATCTGCAGAAATAGAACTTTTGGGGGGGGGGGGGGGTCCCTTTGTATAAATGAAATTATATCTTATATTTCTAACTGTTTACTTCAGATATTATGTTGCATTAGACCCACCATTGATGAATGAGTCATGGGTACTGGCTTAAGGAGCATCGACCACTCTGATGCAAAATTTTCTACATGTTTGCTCTATATCAGCAAGCATTTGTGAAATATTGGGCTAATTTCGGCTCTATATGGGCAAGCATTTACGATGATCTGGTTTATGTCTTGCAAACATAGAGACAATTGATATAGTGTAATGATTTGTCTGATTTATGAAGCATGATTTTATAATTAGTCAGGACGCATATTTATTCTGGATGTATGCTGACAAGGTTCCCTATTGCTGCTCTATTTTATAGGAAAAGAGCTGTTGGTCTATTTAATAAGAAAAGAACCACTTGAAGTTTATTGCATCTACCTGTTTCAAATTCAGTCATAAGATATGTTTGAAGTAACCTAAAGCCTTGTTTCTGGACAGTGGGACTTCCATGATATTATATTTTGAATCACTGGCACTTGCATAAGCCTAACGTGTGTTTGGCGAGCTCTTAAAATTGAGTCAAGACTAAAGCTGACCATCAAAGAGGTAAATTCACTTTAAGTACTTTCATGTACCCCCAATAATAGCTATAGTACAAGGGGTCTATCCTCAATTAATTCTTCCAAATGTTGATATACTTTCTCAGGAGGAAGGGCTAAATGAGTTGAGTAAAATTAAGAGTTGTAATAAGCAATGAAGCATCAAAAGCCATAAATGCTTGCACTAATTTTCGCAATTATCATACTATTACGTGCATGGAGCGTCTTATAGTTTGATACTAAAGGTATCACTCTGGAAATTACAATCATCTCAGTTATATGATTCATACGAGCACAAGTATAATCATGTTACAATCAATATTGTTTTATCATTATTTTTTTGGGTAGAAAGAGGGGAAATAAAATGCCATGCATATTCACAAGACTTTAAAGTTGCTTCACCCTGCATTATTTACACCAAACCCCTCCATGATTTCTTTGCTGGGAACTTGAAAAGGTTGATATGTCGGAGCTTCTCTTAACTTGGAAGCTAGTTTCCTTGGTGAGCTATTGGTCTGGAAGTGAACATAGAACAAAATATCATACACCCGCTAATATTTTGATGTCTCAGCTTCTTTAGTTATCTTCTGATTCCTTGCTCTCTAAACACAACAGGTAGCAGGTGGAAGAATTATTTCTATGTTACCCTAGGTTTATTTGGCAAACAAGTTTCTTTTGAGTCCAGCAAGTGTTGGTAGCAATTAAGTCATGATGTAATATATATGCAGCTCATCGACGAAGAAGTCCCAAACTGATTTTGCCAAGAAAATATTAAGAGGGGAACAAAATAGCATCACCGTACTCCAACCCCTCCTACAAAGACGTTGAAAGTTTAGTTTGAAACTTCCTTTGAGTAAGAAGCCATATATATAAAATCTTAACCCTGCAGAGCAGCAAGATAGATTTCTAGACATCTTGGGCATGTGTAAAAAACTTTGGTTTGGATCATCATCTTCATCGATGTTGATCGAATAAGGGTTCGAGGAAGATGTGTTGATAGGGTCTAAATTCTTAACCTCTTTTATCGTACTAATTAATGCAAACTCATGAGCGGTCTGAGACCTGGCTTGGTGATAGAGATCGAGCATTGGAGGAGTTCGATCATTTGGTCGACCCTGAGTGATTAGATCACCCAACAAATTAAGGAAAAGAAGAGCCAAAAACCACTAGGTAAAACAAGAGCACAACTGGGGATGGACAAGTATAGGGCGCAGAGACCGGGAGAGAGAAACTTAGCCTCTTTGAGGAAATAGACAAATTGCTATAAAAAAAATAACAAAAAAGGAGAGCCATTTGCAAGTGGTTGGGGTCTACTATTTTTATAGACAGATGGGTTCCTCATCGATGCGCCCTCCAAGGGACATCTCACGCGAGCTAGCAAGCCTACTACTAATTAACCACCTCGTCAAGGTCTGGTTTTTGAGGAAGTTTTCCTTTTCGGCGGTATTAGGGGACAAGAAATCAGAGTGGGAGTATTTCGTCTGGGGCGCATTTGAATAGGACGAAAGTTGGTAATCATCCAAGAGATCATCATTATTTGATGTGCTTACAGATGTAGGGGAGCACATGTATGGTGGCACTCCTTCGTTAATCTGAGCACATGTATGGTGCCACTCCTTTGTTAATCTTTCATCTTCCTTTGGATCCATACGATATGATGATACGATTATGTGAAATAGGTTACCACCTAAATAAATTGTTCGATCTCCCTTTTGAAGGCTTCTTGGATCATCTCCACCGGCATGCCCCTTCATTGGTGTGCCCCACGTCATTGAGATTCTAACTCTACTTGTAATTTAACTTAGTCGTTTTGAAGATTAAAAATGTTGGGGATTCGAAACAATCAAATCGTACCCTTACCCTTCCGGACTTTGTGTTTGGGAGTAGGAAAGTAGGAAAATCACAGCAAATAAAAGATAAAAAACTTGCAGGAAAGTAAACAAGAAATAACACACTAGATTTAACGAGGTTCGGCAATCGTTCCTACGTCCTCGGGAGCCACAACACACAATTCTTTGATTAATATTGAAGAAGATTACAATGCCTATAAATAGGATCTAATCTGTCTGAGATCTCTCTCAAGAATTCTCTCAAAACCCTCTTTGTTTTATGACTAATCTCTTCTAAGGCGTTCCATATGTATAGAAAACCTAAAATCAAAACAGACTAGGAATTCTAAAACAAAAAAATAAAATAGATTAGGAATCCTAATAACCTATTACCAAAACAGATTAAGAATCATATTACTAAAATAGATTAAGAATCATGTTACCAAAACAGATTAGGAAACCTGTTATCCAACCATTTGTTTGATTCCATCTTTGAGTCTACATCTCTTAGACTAACAATCTTCTACTTAGAGACCAAAGCACAATCAACGAGCTCACCCGAACTCTCCCTTCTTCGCAAGCATCCTCCTACACGGAAAAATTCCATTCTTCAATCATCATCAACCGGCGATCCCGCTGATCCTCCTTGTGTGGCTTCGCCTTCATCTCCTACACATGAAGGCCAACTGAAGTTACACACAACTCCAATTTGTTAATAGTCACTGCTTTTGTCAACATATCCGCATGATTTTGACTCCCCAAAATCTTCTTCAGATGTAACTTCTCGTCCTCAATCAGCGAGCATATAAAATGTCATCGTACGTTGATATGCTTAGTTCTTACATGATATACTGAATTCTTAGCAAGGTGTATAGCGTTCTGGCTATCATAATAAAAAACTCAGTTCCCCCGCTTCAGATCCAACTCTTCCAGGTCAACCAAATCATCTCCTTGCTTGCTTCAGTCACCGCGACATACTCATCCTCAGTTATAGATAATGTTACAATCTTCTGTAGATATAAGACTCATCTCACTGTTATCGACGCCAAGGTATAAACATACCCCGTGATACTCCGCCTCGTATCATGATCACCAGCAAAATTCGCATCTACGTATCCTTACAGTACCAACTCCTTCTTCCTAAAATATAGTGGCTTGTCCGTAGTCCCTCTCAAGTAGCGGAATATCCACTTCATGGTTTCCTAATGTTGCTTCCCTGGATTG